TTATGGATTATTATTTAGTTTTATGGATTATTATTTAGTTTTGTGGATTGTTATTTAGTTTTATGGATTGTTATTTATTTTTATGGATTATTATTTAGTTTTATCGATTGTTATTTACTTTTATGGATTGTTATTTAGTTTTATGGATTATTATTTAGGTTTATTGATTATTATTTAGTATTATAGATTGTTATTTAGTTTTATGGATTGTTATTTAGTTTTATGGATTATTATTTAGTTTTATTGATTATTATTTAGTTTTATGGATTGTTTTTTAGTTTTATGGATTATTATTTAGTTTTATGGATTATTATTTAGTTTTATGGATTGTTATTTAGTTTTATGGATTATTATTTAGTTCTATGGATTATTATTTAGTTTTATGGGTTTATGATGAATGATGGGTTATCGGCACGTTTGGGCCAGACATAAAAATCACTTTTTCGAATCCGACTTTTGGGCCGCTATTTTTTGAGAATTGTTTTGAACGGTGTCGATTTATAATAGAGATAATTGCAGACGGGCCATCCTAGTAAGTATTTAAGATTATATCACAAATTAAGCCAACCAAGAGGGTGTAAAGATTGTATTTCTTTATTGCGAGTCAACTGACATGACTAAAACTTGTTTGATTATTTAGAGAAAATCACATCAGAAAAAAGATCAATATTAAATTAATATAATTGATTAAAGTAATAGACCTCATTCATTACTACGCCTGGCTGATTACAAATGGTAGAAAGAGATAATTAACTCGGTGTTTTACGACCTATTTTTGGTACATATAAATTATGTCCTGCGTATCCGCATAAAAACAATGTCCCCAGAAGGAAAACGTGAAAATCATTAAAAGAGATGCAAATTTACATCCTCAATTTTGCATTTGTTCAAGGTACCACAGGCTTCGGTCGGGAAATAGGAAATAGGTGTCTACAATTCAAATACATCAACTACAAATCATTTTTATATGCCTTCCCTTTAGGACGAACAAGTAATCGGTGTTTAATTAAACCACTGACGAGGGTTCACTTACCTAAATCATCTCCCACCACAAAGACAATATGAGGTGGTTTGTCTGCATCACAAACTACTAAAGTTATTATAAATAACAGTGAATATACTCTTTCCTTCATTGTATACCATTGATAGTCATAATGATATCAAACCTTCAGTGTAGTATTGAAAATATAGATAACAATTGGTCTATCGAACTGTTTAAAGCGACACTATTAAAACGTTTATGTGAATAGAACGGACTGTAACATAGTCGGTCAGAACGTTGGAATCTTTGCATAACGTCATTTGCTTGAAAACGCCAAACAAATTGGGGTCGGAGTTTCTATTTTTTGGATTAGTAGATAAGTAAAAGAAATGAAATGTATTTCTTGTTAAAAGTTTCAAATAAGTGAAGGGATACATGTCTTTAGATTTTGGTCTTAAGAAGTTTAAAGTTTAAGTTTTCATTAATTCGAACACCTAACTTAACTTTCTCAACCAACGAAAAAAATCTTTAACTGTCCCTTTAATTAAACAGATACAGACCAAGGACAAATTTATATTCTATTTTATTTTATCGTTTTCTCTCATATCTACAATATCCAAGGCCTGAGTGTTTTGGAGAAAATGACTTACTTTTGAAACGTCAATCATAACCTACTAAAGTATCATCATGCGAGGTTCTAGTTTGTAATTATCTACCGATTGGGGGTCACATAATTTTAAGGGGGCACCAAGCAATCCTTTCCTTATATTGCATATTGATTAATTAGAAAGGGGGTGGGGGCAAAAGGAGATGTATGGTACCATTCGGTAATCTTCAGAAATTTCTGTAAAGCTGGATCTGTTGCAGAACGCTAGCGGAACTTCCACGACAGACCGTTCGGAACGGAACAAAATTAACAGCGAACATTACATCCCCAGTATAATTCTTTCTTAGATTAGGTAAATAGGTCGTAAAACTTCCGTCTTTTCATTTCATTTCATTATGATAAAGAAATGTTAAATTGCCTTATGAGCATTTATTCAAAGATATTTTAACTCTTTGAATTTAATGATAGTACCACTGTCTTGGAAAAATTTCCCTCGATGCTCGCTGCGTGGCGTTTCCCATCTTCATTAGTTCATAAGGTGCAGAAAATTGGGACACAAAATCATATTTCTCAAATGTTAATTTTGTGTCTGGATAATCGCGACTTTATAACAAGAGTTATCCCCCTTCCACTGATATCAGCTCGAGTAGTGTATATAATAATATTCAGTTCTGTTTCATTATGTAAACTGCAGGAGTAGAAAACGATGATATGCATAGATGTCTTAAGTGAACAACAGCGATTTTGGTGTTTAATATACAGGTCATGTCTTTAGTGACTCTAGTTTTACAACTGTTTGTGTTGTCTTTATGAAGCGAAACGTTCAGTAGTCTCAATTATTAAGACGCTCCATTACGATTAATACTACAGACTACAAATATTTAGTCCTTACTGTGAATGGAAAGATACAAGAAAACACTTTGATTGCCGAGCAATGAACTTTGAGATAATTTTAGATTATGACAAACTTCTATAAAGATTAGACGTTGTTGTATAACAGTGAAAGTCTGTGATATTTGTTTGATATCGGTGTACATTTCCTCAACAAATTAGTTTACTTTTCTGTTTTAATATTTGGTTCAGAAAAGTAGGCAGTAAAACTCCATTTCCATTTCCATTTCATTTTCATTTTCATTTTTCATTTTCATTTTCATTTCATTTCATTTCATTTCATTTCATTTCATTTCATTTCATTTCATTTCATTTCATTTGTTTTATTGTTGTCTGATGTTTACTGAACCAATTGTAATCTATGTCTTAGTTTGAAGGGTTTACAAAGTTCCTACAAGGTTCCTACAAAGTTCCTACAAAGGTCTAAGTCTTGTCTTTGGATCAGATGTGTATCTTATGAGAATCACTCTCAGGAGTAAAGAAAAATAAAAATAAACTGCATGATCCCAAAAAAGGATAGGTCTACTTCTCTAATTCCAGATTATCTACAGTTGATATAACAACAGATATAAAACTATTACTCATTAACACACATTCTTGTTTATTTTCTAGAACTATAATCTTATAATTCCTGAACCTGTGCTTTCGTAATATTGTTTCCCTCGTTTTCCCCTCCCACACGCCAACTCGCTATCGAATGAGGTCTCCGTATAATAGGGGCCTACCTTTACTTCGGTCGAGTTTGAATTAATTACCAGACAATGGAAATCTCGGAATGTACAGGAAATCAAATACATGGATCAAATCTTCAACAGAACATCCCTGATATGTGGAAAACATTGATAAACAAACATCTTGGAACACGAGTTGGGAATAAATACAGAAATATAGCCCGAGATATTCAGCTGGTGGATAGTGGTATTAAAGCAGCGTTTCTATTTGATTATTCGTGTGTTACGTCTGACGTGATTTCGGACTTTCTAAACGACCTGAACGCTTCTAAATTGCTGAGCTATATCGAGGATTTAAACGTGATAGAGATTGCTCTGGATGTGCTTATATGTAATAGAAAACAGTTATCCAAAATTCCATGGGATCGAATTAAATTTGTGGATATATCTAGATCAAACTCAGGATCGATTCTACCAGCAGACGCACCAGAGCTTAAAGCGACCAAAGAAGCATTTGAATGGATTCTTAGTCATACAAGTGACCGGCAGTTATCAGTGGAATTTACAGATAACTTGGTAAACCCGACTACATTATTTGGTGTTATGATCGGTTATCCAGTCGTATACTGGTACGATGTTTCTAAAGAAAATGGTGCCATGTTGTCGATGGTTCCGTTGAAATGTATTCAGATATTTCAACAGAGACACCTGGTGTATAGTTTTAGTTTACCGATGGACTTGTGGTTGGAACTAGAACACGTGATTCAATCTTGGTTCTCAGATCAGAAGACTGTATGTTGTGATTTAACTTTAGACTCGGACGTTAAGACATTATCCAGTGTAGCTTTATAGTATTAATAAAACACGTGTGGTCGTGCACAATGACTAAACTACCACAGGGACTGGTTCCAACTCAACCTCCAGAAACAACCCCCCCACCCCCCACCCCAAAAAAAAAACTTCCCGGGGAGGGGCTTCAACCAATTGAAGTTGAGTCGCTGGACGTGCAAAATATATAAATACCCCTTGTGATGATTCGTCATGTTTTCAAAAATCACAAGAATAAACTAACTGATGACTATCATAACCATTTGAAGAAGAAATGTTTTTAATTCATATTGGGTTTGACTGAATGGTTGTAACATCAGATGATGACACTATACAGAAATACTCTCACTGTCGTTATCTCATTAATATTACATGTATTTACATAATATCAACTTGTCATTTATTGGGTGCATTCCCTGACTGCTAACCCAATATCCCTGTTAAGGACCCCTCTCCCTTCTCCCTAGATAGGAACATATTTTGAGCATTCCCCTAACCGCTTACTTCATACACGTTTGATTGTATTTCTCTTTAAATCTAAACGTAGAGGTACGGATAAAGCCAAAGTATGACCAGAATTAATTTGAATCTATTTTTCTAACTGGTTTGAGTTAAAAATGCACGTGTGTTTTAGAACCCATCCTTAACTAATAATCAAATAAAATAAACTTTTAAACTCAAATTTCATTAAATCGTTAGTCCTCTGTTTATCTCTACTGTCAACTTTAAATTGTTGTAAAATTCTGGAGAGATTTGTTTGTTAGTTGATAAAGACTAAATGATAGTTAGTGATATCAATAACACCTGTGGTTGAAACTGTAACGGGTGCAGTACTTAACACCTCGAGTAAACACTACCTATACATAAATTATATTAAATACCTGATAGAAATTATTATTACTTGTTAAAGGTGTTTATTTTCTTATAGAGATTTTAAAGAGGTTTTCTAAATTTTATTTGTATCGTGGACACTGATATCATCAATTTACACCATTCCAATTTTAAATCAGACTTCCTTGGTTACTGCAATTCCACTTAAACTAGGCGTTTATGACGTCACTAATCGTAAAATATGCTGTATCTTAAAACGACTTCGCGATTAGTGACGTCATCAAACGCTTAGTTTAAATGGAATTGCAGGGGTAGTTTGTAAATGCAGCGATTTGATTAGATTGTTTGCCAACGAATACAGCCAATCAGAGCACATGACAGAAAGGCTGTAAACATTGTGGCTTTTTGTTTACAGACTTTCCGTCGAGGGCCCTGATTGGCTGTATTCGCCTTTGTAGAAAACCAATCAAATCGCTGCATAAGCTTATTCTAATTACTTTAAAAAAGTGGCTATTGCAGTCAAGGTGTATGACGAAGTCATGGGTTGATATTGTGATATTGTTTAAGGAGCAAATTTGTTTCAAAATAACTAATCTAACAGTTTGTATTATTAAAGTCTAAATATCAGTCAGCTGTAAAATAACAAGAATTGTATCTTCTTTTCTCCTTGTGTACACAGATTCAACCATTTTTATTTAGAGTTGTTTTTACTGCTGAGGCATTAAAAAAATATACAGTTTAATTTAGTTCTTGTGATCTTAATATTTCAACAATCACAAACCTCGCCATTGTCATTTACCTTGTTATTACAACCCGAAAAACATGGGTGCTTAAATCTAAAAAAAAAAACAGGGATGAATCGAACCCGTACCGATAGTTATTGTTGTACAATTCATTATATCAAATTGAAAACAATTCTGCTTACATTAGTTATTTCAGGGGTATTCAACCTGCCCGGGGGTAATTTGGGAATTTTAGGAGTGGGGGCGGGGGGAGGTGGTGTCGACTGTCGGGGATGTTGAGGCGCTTTGTAGGTCCTGTATAAAGGTTTATAATAATATAATTTAATCTGTTCTATTACCAGGGAAATCATAATAGAACATCAGGAAATAGTAAGTATTTATAGGGGAAGGAGGGGGGGGGGGGGGGTAATGTAAGTATTTATAGGGGAAGGGAGGAGGTAATGTAAGTATTTATAGGGGAAGGGAGGAGGTACTGTAAGTATTTATAGGGGAAGGGAGGAGGTAACGTAGAGTATTTATAGGGGGGGGGGGGGTAATGTAAGTATTTATAGGGGAAGGGGGGGGGGGTAATGTAAGTATTTATAGGGGAAGGAGGGGGGTCTAATGTAAGTATTTATAGGGGAA